GTGTTTCTCTGACTGGTGACGGATGTTGACAGGACTCTGTAATGTGTTTTGTAAGCCGGCTGAATTGCACTTGATGCGATAGCCTCAATCTGACACTGTTGATCACTTACAAATTGAGAAATCAGAAAAAGTGATTTCGTGGAGAAGGAAACCTGACTAACTGGTGGTATTTTATGAGAGGCTGAAATGGGAAATGTCATAGTTAAAATGATTTTTGTTTTGTAATCAAAAAAATAATTCTAATAGGCTGCATTTTAGTTCTTCTTTGTTCAATTCCATTCTTCTGAGTTCCCCAGCCACTAAAAATGATAAGAAATGAACATTTACTGAGCCCTCACTCCAAGCCAGGAGGCATTCTGCTGGATGCTTAAAACACTAAACCACTTAAGACATAGCACGGACTCCTGACAAACTCACGATCTAGTGAGATTAGTATTAAAATGAATACTTACTCTATGATGTGACAGGTGGTATCATTGCAGAATTCGCAGGGTACAGAAAGCCTGGCTCAGTGTCCAGCAGATGCCTAACACTGGGCACCTGGCAGTGGCGTGGGGCATCAAGGAGGGTAGGAGGCTGGGTCTGCAGGGAGCAGGCAGGAAGGGGGGTGGGTATTGTTTGTAAAGAATTTGGAATCAATAATAAAACCAATTAGAAACTGAACTCCTCTTTACTATCACCATGTGCTGGCAGTTCCAAACAGTGTCAGTGTGGGTGACCCTGGGATGGACGCCTCGAACGCTCTGCCCTGGAGCCCCTGGGAGAGCCCCTGCTGGGAGCAGCAAGGGAGCTGGAGCGGTTGAGGAGAATTCCAGATGGCAGGATGCCGGTGCTGTGAGGAGATGAGGCGTTTCTCACGTAGATGTGGACGGACATTCCAGGAAGCCTCCAGCACGTGCAAAGGCCTGTAAAATACCAGGGTTCACTGCAGTGCCAGGGAGGTAGGAGTTCCTTCAAATGAGCGGTGATGGTCAATTAGATGTCCACGTGGAAACAAGCCCAACCCCTTACAGTACACGCAGTGATCAGCTCTGGGCAGCTGGCAGACCTGAATGGGGAAAGGAAAGCAAGTGTCTCAGAGGGAAACAGGAATGTGCTCATGATCTTGGCCTTTGAAACAAAACACCACAGACTCTAAAAGGAAAAAAAAAAAACCCAAACAACCGAGAAGTCGGAGCCTATTAAAATTAAATACGTCTTTTCTACAAAAGATACTATTAAGTGAGTGAAAAGCAGCCCATAAAATGGGAGCTTTTCCCAATGCACCTACCTGACTAAAGACACAGACCTAGGAAGCATTGGCAAGGATCCGGCACAAACGGAAGGCACGCGTGCTGTGTTTGTGGGCCTGTAAACTGGCACAGAGAACTGTGCCAGAGAACTGTGTGGCGCATCTCCCGGAGCCTTCCGCGCACACACTGATAACCCAGCAGTTCCACACACCCCCAAGAATGCGCACATCCCCTGAGCAACACGCACAAGGATGTTGGGGAGCACTCCCATCACAGGTGTAAGCTGGAGGCCAACCCAGTGCCCACGAACAGCAGACTGGAAAAGCGGACAGTATTCGTGTAGCAGATAACTAGCGGTGACAGTGAAAAGTGACAGCTACGCTAAAAAGTGTGAAGGAGCCTCACAAACCATGGCGAGCAAAGGGCACCGAAGAATGGTGGGCAGACACTGGTGATCAGGGCTTGGGCCTCGGTTCCCCGTGGGCAGTGACTGTACGTGGGTGTGGGGACTTTTACAGTGCTTCTCAGTCCAGGTGCTCAAGGGTGTGTCATCAGGGGTAATAATGAAGGTTATGGGTGTGGGGACATCAGCTTAAGAAAATGAGAAAAATGACACGTCCAAGGAAAGCAGGTGACCAAAGGCAGGGACTGAGGAGCTAAAGGTTTGAGCAGGAGTGGGAGTTGCAGGAATGGGGACAGAGCTTTAAAAAGAAGGAAGGGTTGTGATGTTTCCCGCCTCAGGAAGGTGCCGTAGGACAGACCGATAAGTATCAGTTTTGTTCCCCTTAGGAGGTCGAGAATGGCCTTGCCATGCACAGCCTCAAACACCCAGGGGCAGAAGTTTCCGCCGGAGGCAGGAGGCTGGAGGCAGCAGGCTGGAGGCAGGAGGCAGGAGGCTGGAGGCAGGAGGCAGGAGGCAGGAGGCTGGAGGCAGGAGGCTGGAGGCAGGAGGCAGGAGGCTGGAGGCAGGAGGCTGGAGGCTGAGGCAGGAGGCTGGAGGCAGCAGGCTGGAGGCAGGAGGCAGGAGGCTGGAGGCAGGAGGCAGGAGGCAGGAGGCTGGAGGCAGGAGGCTGGAGGCAGGAGGCAGGAGGCTGGAGGCAGGAGGCTGGAGGCAGGAGGCAGCAGGCAGGAGGCTGGAGGCAGCAGGCAGGAGGCTGGAGGCAGGAGGCTGGAGGCAGGAGGCTGGGTGTCAGGCGCTTGCAGCCTTTCCAGGAAGCTGGGCTGTGCAGACACGAGTGGGCGCTGGACAGAGATGCAGGCCGAGGTGCTTTTCAACTTGGCAAAGGCCGGGATCTGGCGACCGGCCATTAAGGGGCTACCGGTGAGTCGGGGCAGCGACTACCGGCCCAGATGTCAGGAAAAAGGGGACCCATCGATGGGGGCTCAGCCTCAGGAGCAGGGACGTGGGTGGGAATAAAGGTACATCTGCAGTTAAGAGGTTGGGAAAGTGAGGGACCTTGTGCCTCACAGCCTCCGTTTTCTCTAAGAAGTTGGGGTCAAAGTCATTTGCTTAGAGGGAATGGGGGGGATCCTGAAGATTTGTTTTTTAAAACTTTCATGCACTTTTGCAAGAGATTAAAAACCCTTTTATCTATATGTAAAATATATACTATACCTACATTTTATTAATTATATATCAAAAACTTCATTTCCTGTGAAATAACCCATTTTCAAATCTACACCAGGAAGCATTACACATTAACCGTAAGAATACCCTACGTTGAGTCCTACCAAACATCGTACTTTTGGGACTTAATTTTCCTCCAACTCTTTCTTCCAGCCTCATTTACCATTAATTTTTAAAATAGTTATCTTGATACTTTTTCATAGCACTTTTCTCCTGCTTAGTTGGGGTGTTGTTTCTTCTTATTTCCTGTGTCACAGAGTATTTCCCTCTCTCCGTCCTCACCTCTCCTCACATTCAGATTAATTCTTGTAAAGTGAGATTTCTGAATGTCAAGCCACTCCTCATATTTTTAATCAAATGAAGAGAGTTCTTGAGTTATAAAACAGTACATTCTTATGTAGAAGTGTCACCCATATAAAGAAGAAGGTGAACAATCGTTTCCCGAGGTTGTGTGTGCGTGTGTTGCTTCCCGAGACCCCTTACGTAGAGTCCCAGTGAAGAGTGTTGGAAGCAGCACTTGGTCTCCCAGGTTGAGGGGACAGCCCCTGACATAACTGCGGGTCACTGTGTGGTGGGTGGGAGCTGTTCTCTTCCATCAGTCGCTCCTTGTGTCATCCCAGGGACCTGGAAGCGACGCGGCTCTCTTGATTCTTTACTGTAGATGATTGGGTTTTATTATAAATTGTTGAAGAGAGTGATCCCAGCAGTTCGGTGGAGTTGTCGTCCATCAGGTTTGCAGACGGAGACTTTGAGACTCGCTTTGGAGAGAACCGCGTCCCTAGCACATCTGGTTCATTCTCCAGCCACCCAACGGCGGGGTGAGGTCGGCCTCAGCCTCGCGGTTACTGTCAGGCAGACGAATCCTGCAGGGGGTGAGGTGGGCACCCTGGAGGACCCTGGACCTGAACCTGGTGTGCTGTCCTCACGGAGGTGGGCAGCAGCGGAGGGCTCGGGCTCTTGTCCTGCACCCTGGAGGCAGGGACGAAGTATTTTCCACCCTGGTACCATGGCCTATGGAAATCTGTGCTCTGACCAATCGGACCAGTCACAGCCGCTCCCAGAGAGAAAAGTCCTCAGAGATCATGAGAGTCCCCACAAGGACACATTCCACATGACCCATCCCGGGGAGGAGAGCAGGTGTCTCCTCTGCCGTGAGTGGTAGGATGCAGACATGACCCAGAGGATGGGCGGGACACACAGAACTCGGGCTCAGAAAGATGCAGATAATTGTCCACGACCACTCACCGGTGCCTGGTAGAGTCTGAATGCAGACCCTGGTTGGTCTGACTTAAACGCTTAGCCCTGCGTGCAAGGACTTCACTCTTCATGGGCACTCTTGGTGGGAAATCACACTAGAATGTAATATATTCATAGTCATAGGGGGTTGGGGATTGGCTTTCTCTTATTTGCATATGTTGCCCAGAAATTTCATTGTGGATTAAAAGACTAAAAGGAGGGAGAGAAGAGCCCAGAAACTAGCGCCAACCTCACAAGTGACCCCAAGCTTAAGAGAAGATGGGCTCATGGTTCTTTTTCCAATTCTTCATCCTTTGCTTTCTACCCTTACTCACTCTGAGATGCCTTGATGTTATGTGGGTGTTATTTCATTGATCCCAGTAATAATTATATTTGGAAAAATCGACTGGCCTGAGAAATTGGGGTACAGGCCTATATTTCTATATATCAGCAATTTTCAACCTTTTTCATCTCTTGGCACAAATAAACTAATTAAATTCTGCGGCACAACAAAATATATATTTTGCCAATCTGACAAAAAAGTAGATATAATTATTATTCATTCACACTGCACAGTTATTGTTGTGCTGGCTGTTGTCATTTTTTTATTTGACAATCTAAGAGAAAGGAGGTCAGTGTCCCTAGCTAAATAGTCAGATATTGCATGTTTTAAAAATTCTTGTGGGACACCAGTTGAAAATCAGTGCTGTATATTATTTATGAGCTATGTAGAAACAGAGCTAGGAAACGCTGCCTGGAAAGAACATTGGTCCACCATGTTGAGTGCCTGGAGTTCCGAACCAGCAGCTTTGGAATTAAAGAGGAGATATTACTAATTATCACATGTACTTAAAGACAGATGCTTGATCAGTGGTTGTTCTAAGTGACTTTTGTGTTTCTTTCAGATGTGGCCCATTTAATGTGGTTCGAAAGACTCTACGTTTGGCTTCAGTGTTTTGAAAAATATATCTTGTATCCGGCAATCATCCTGAATGCCGTCACTATTGATGCATTTTCAATAAGCAATTATCGGAGACTTGGGACCCAGTAAGTGGAAATGGTTTACTCTCCTAATGATTGGGCTCACGTTTTGAAAGCCTAGTGCATTTTCTCCAGAGAGGCTGCAGCGGAAGTCAGCTCCCAGGGGTCTTTCTCAAACTGGCTAGAGCTGGACGGGTGTGTGTAGAGTGACCGGGGTGCACATGAAGTTGGATCTGCTTGAAGCGATGTTGTGATAAATGTCAGTAGATTTGAAAATCATGCTGCAGACTTAGTCAGTGAGCGCTGATACGAGGTCGGAAGCCCAGTGCGACACCGGGTTCCTGGAGTTCCTGCCTCATGTCATTTCATTTAGCAAATACTCCGTCATTTGTGCTTGAGGGGATGTCCTTGCTCTGTCTTCATTTATCAGGAGAAGTGCCACAGCTACAAAAGTGGAGCACAGAGGCCTCGTGTCATCAGGATACCTGTGCTTTGCAAAGCATTGGCAATGCACGGTTGAGTTATTGGTGTCATATATTCGAGTTAACTGAATTTACAATGGAAATCTCCTGAATTGTCTGAGGATTTGTCTCCCTGACTACAAGTTTCTGGTCCAATAAGTTGTTGGGGATCTTTTCCCAGATTTGCTTATTAGTCACGTGGCTTAAACACCATGTGCCCAAGCCAACCCTGATGTGTAATCCCAAGCAGACGAGCTCACATCTGCTCCTCCTTTTAGGGCGACATGAGGACAAATTCATGAACATTTGCCAGAGGCTGAGCAAGCTAAGCTCAGAGGCGTGTGAATGCTGGACTTGGAGCAGGTCCATGGCGCAAGAGGCAGACACTGAAAGAAATGATTCTGTCACCTTCCTGACCTGGCTCAGTTAGGCAAGGCCAAGAAGTCCATGTCTGTGGTTCTTAGAATCCTAGGCTTCAGGTCCAGGGATGCAAAGAGCCTCACTGGATGAAGAAGGCGGCCAGTGGGACTATGGAGCTCCTAGAGAGTCTGGGCGGGGCCCAGTCCCGGGGCTGACGCGCCTCTAGAACATGAAGGCCTCTGTGGCAGGTGTTTCCAGTGTGGTGCTACCCGGGATGACCCCCTAGAATGGGGCAGATCCTCCATTTCCAGAGTGAGGGCTTGCAGTCACAACCAAAGTAGCAAAGACGGTACCAGGGCTGCCTGGGGCATCCAGCTGAAGGGTTTCAGGTCCCCCCGCTCCAGCATCAGGACCAGCCCTGGAGCTGCACCTGCAGGTTGAGACCAAGCAGCTCTGGCTGTTGGCAGAAGAGGGACAAAGGCCGCGAATTAGACAGACTCAAGTGAACAGTTCGAAGAGAGCCCCGCTTGAAGTCTAATCTCTGTAATTTTTTCCCAGACACTAAAGACAGAAAGTATCACCTTACCTCTGTACCTCCAGGTTCTCAACTTCCAGATGACACCCACATTATTTTTCTCAGAATCCATAGCTGACAGTTTCTTTGGATTCTTGAGGCATCCATCTGAAGACTTAAAAACAAAGCCTCCCGAGATTCCAAGCACCCCGAGATTCCAAGCACCCCACTAGGCCGGCTGTTTCAGATAGATGGCAGGAGTCCATGCACCAGCCTCACCTACAGACCTGCTCCGAACTCTACAAGCCTCTTCCATTGAGAACCACTGTGCCAGATGGTCAGAGAGCGAGCTGGTTAATAGCAGGCACTGTTTGTTATTCAGCTTTCAATATCAACCCCTAGTAAGCGGTGATGGATGGATGGATGCATGGATGGATGGATGGATGGATGGATGGATGGATGGATGGATGAATGGATGGATGACCGGGTGGGGGAATCGTGATGTCTTGTTAGGTATTTATATTTCCCAGCGTGACCTAAATGGATGCTTACAGCTGTCCCAGGCCATTGTTCACTGATTTATGTAAACCTTTATGAAACCTTCAGCTAAGCTGTGAAAGTCTATGAATCTGGAACTGAAACCATTATCATTACCATGTTATAAAGGCCCTACCACCAGTCCTTTAGATCTGCCATAGCCATAACTGGTCATGGTTATTAGACATGAGTACTGTCCATTGGAACCACAGTCCCAGAAAACAGAAAGTTCAGAGTTAACCCTTGTCTAAATATGGCCTGAATAACCCAGAAATCACCCATCTCCCCTGAAAGTCAAAATATTCCTAGTCTTGAGATGCTTGTCACTGGGGTCCCTGCAAGCGCTTTGGCTATCCCAGGGGAGTTCTTGAACCCTGGGCTGTTGTCAAGGGCAGCTGGGCCCAGCATTGCTGTCCACTGGGACAGGATGGTGGATTGCGGAGCAGTGGTCAGCCTCACCGCGGGAACACGGAGGGCTTTATGTGAAGTTACAAAAACATCCCCACTCTCCCCAGACCTGCATGTAACCCAGGGCTAGTGTTTCTCAGAAGGGCTGTGGGCAAACCTCACTGGGGGCACCAGCGGCAGAGTGGGAACAACCACAGCCCTAGACCTGACGGCGTATGAAAAGTCGGATCGCAGCAAATGGAGCTGCCGATATGAGATCCTTTTGATGACAAGATGACAGTCTTGCACCTGAGAGATGCAAAGACTTTGAAAGCACTTTTTAAATGCCCTCCTCCTGGGACCTAAGGTCAGAGCCCAGGATCCCTCTAGGTCCAGGGAAACAGGCACAAATCTGGTTTTATGTATTTAGCAAGAAAATGAAAACCTCGCTCTTTCAAGTGCCGGCACTGTCTGGACAGCGTTCCACCTCTGTCTTTCCAGTTTCCAAAGATGCTGCTGTGATTGGGGGGATCTGGTTAAAATGGGTAAAGCCTCCTGCAGAAAGACTGAGGCCTCAGGCAGGGCGATGCTCTGTGAGGCCATCCTGAGCTATGCACAGTGTCATGGTCAGTAGGTTGGTCACTAGACGTCATAATCTGGGGAATTGCACACACAGCACGTGCTCCTCCCTGCACGGGTCACTAACCTCGCTCCCTGGACGAGAGCGTTCAGGAGCCAGTCCTCACAGGGACGCCCTGCCTGCCGTGGCTGACGGCTGCGGTCAGCTCCTTCACCGCAAAGGCCTGTGCCGTGGGGAGAACGATGGTGCAGCTTTCAGCAGAAAGAAAGCAGGACCGGGAAGCTTATGCTCACTGGGAGGACAGATATGCTGAAAAACACCAGTTGTGAACATGCCAGAGTAAAAATGGCTTTATTAAGATAGTGGGTTTTTCCATCTCTTCAGAATGTAATACTGACCGTCATTACATTATCGCTTCAGTAAGATTCTTTTATAATAAAAGGCACACATGGAGCAGACCTAGCAGGGACAGCGTGCTCTGATCCCTCACTTACCTGCAAGCTCTCCATGGGACCTGTCACTGCCGGGGGGCTTCAGATAAGCTCCAACGAGCCCTGTGTCCTGGGGACAGTCAGAGGCATGCGGCCGAATGGCACCCCCTCTAGTGGCAGCCTGTGCTGGAGGGTCCCTTGGGGCTGAGTCTCAATCCCAGCTCCGCCCTGTGAGTGCTTGAACAAGTGACCCCCGCTCTGAGACTCAGTTTACTGTTCTGCCAGGTGAGGGTCATCATAGCCCCCCTCCCCTAGTTTGGCATTTTGTGTTTACAGCGTGCACGTTAGCCACTGTCGCTCGCCTCGCAGCTGGCGCCCCATTGTCGCTCGCTCTTCTCTCGTTCCCTGCCGACAGCTGGGACATCTTCCTGATGATCGTGGCGGGCATGAAGCTGCTGCGGACCTCCTTCTGCAACCCGGCACCCCAGTTCGTCCACCTGGGCTTCACCGTCCTCTTCTTCCGCTTCGACTACCGCGGCCTCTCGGAGAGCTTCCTCCTGGACTTCTTCCTCATGTCCATCGTGTGCGGCAAGGCAAGTCCGCGCGCGCCGCGGTCCCCGGCCCCGAGGGCGCGGCTCACCCCGTGCTGCAGGGGTCTTAAATATTTTTTTAAAACTATAGCATGAAATTAAACTGAATTACATATGCATGTTACACACCTGCTGCCCTTTCGAGAACATTCCCGGTGGACTATAAATACGCCATGTTACTTGCCCCAAATCACTAATTAACATGAATTAGCCGTTAGTGTTGCTTGAAATTTTACGATCTTTGTCTCTGCTAACAGTCTCTTTATAGAACTTGCCTAGGTCTCAAATGCTCTGAATTAAAGGTTAGCAACCAGACATTAAATTTTTAAAATTTACTTTATTTTTACTTATTTATTTATTGACTTATTTTACTTAGCAAGCACTCTGCCTTTTGAGGTACATTTGAGACCTGGTACCGAGAGCCGGGCCCCCCTGGCTTGTCTCAGGGCAGATTTCACCCGCCGTGATGTCCCACGTGGGCAACGAGAAATCCTAACCACGGTTCAGGCAGATGTGTGGACGGTGTCTGATGCCCAACGTGAAGGACTCGTGTTCTAGGCACCGTAACAGCCTAGGTTTGTAAATGGACGTGGAGAGGAATTTGGAACAATCTTGATTATTTGGCTGAGTGACACGACCACGCCTTTCCCCCCGGCTTCTCCACGTGCCAGGTTTCTGCCCTGAGACTGACTTAACCAGCAACTTCCCCTTTCAGTTAATAATGTTTATATCTGAGGGGTTTCCCCCCCCCAGAACTTCATTATTTTACCTCTTTTTTTATAAAAAAAAAAATTTTAGAGAAGAAGGGACATAGAGAGAAACATTGATCGGTTGCCTCCTGTACACACGGAGACTGGGATTCGAACTCACAACCTCTCAGTGTACAGGACAATGCTCCAACCAACGGGGCCACACTGGCCAGGAGTAATTTTTATCTTTATTACCTATCCTTTCCTTCTGGCTTTCTCTCTGCTTGTTTTAGGGAACAGAAACTCAAACTCTCATATTATTGGATAAAAACTCCTTAAGTAATTGGCGTCACCCCATCACGGCACGCGCGCTTCCTGTGGTAACTCCAGTTGGACACTGATTTTCCGGTTGTCTGAGTCCTTCCTTGGGCCACTTGTCACTGGCTCCTACTCTTCCTCTGTGGCCTGCCCCCGTTTCCACGTCCGATTCTGGGACGCCGGCCTTGCCCACGCACCTTCCTTCTCCGTCGGTTCTGTTGGGTCTCAATAAACTTCTCTCATTTTTTTGATGGTTCAGATCGCAGGCTTCCAGTCCTGTTTCCTTGATGACGTATGAATTCCTGTTATCCACATAATCAGTGTAACATTATATCTTAGGACCCTAAAGCATTCAGGAGGTTATTGTAAATAATGTTACTGCTCCGGGGGTGAGAGCTTGTTTATCATCAGACGCAGAGTGTGCCAGATGGGCTGCGGGCCTGGCTCTGCCAGTTCGTATAGTTCGACATAGTGATATCGGTGTTTCTTTCTGAACCTCAGTTTCTTTAAAACGGAAAATAATGATGCCAGTCTCACCGGGTATGTTGTGAGGATTAATTAGCAGAACTATAAAAGAACTTTTTAAGTAGAACATGCTTTCCAAATACAAGGCAGAGTTTTTAAAGCCATCGTGTGGAGAGTGACGTGACACACTGTTTAACACGGGAAGGAGCGTGGCTGGCTTTCCGCACCGATCTGTCCAGCCTGGGAGGGAGAAGCCCTGGCATGGGCAGTGGGCAGGGACGGGGTTCTCGCTGTAACAGCCTGAAGAGCGTGGCTTCTGAACGCCCCTGCTTCTGCGGCAGGCACGGCGGTGAGCGCTTGCTGGAGCCCACGGGTGCCTGCGGGTCAGCTGCGAGAGGCCTCGCTGACAGCACGCGGCCGGCTGCTAAGGGAAACAGAGTCACGGTGGCCTTTGTTCCTTCCCATCCCTGCGGCCACTGCATGCACCCTGTGCATCATGAGGGAGGGGGACCTACCGTGACACCATCCCAAACTACGCCCACGGAAATGTCTTTGCTGCTGGCATTGACTTCCACCCGCCACAGCCTTTTTGAGGCACCAATGAAAACACTAAAAATTCCAGGCAGGACCATGGAAGCAGCTTCTTACCGCCTCTGACCGAGGGAGCATCAGCACTTAGAATTGGAATAGTCCGCCTTTCGGCTGGAGATCATGGCTATGTCTAAAAGCAAACAAACAAGGAACGGAAATGAGACAAAAGCTAGAAAACTCAGCTTACTGACTAGTGAGTCGTGAGCGGTCCCGATGCACCCGAACCCTTCCGGTGCCGACTCCCTCCTGTCCCCTCCCCCGAGAGGGGAATGAGATCTTCCTGCGGAAAAGGCCCGTGGAAATCAGTGACAGGAGACAGTGGCGGCACCAGGGTCCCACAGCCGATGCTTCTTGTGAAGACCCTGCCTGCAAACCCGCTGATGCCTTGTCCCTTCTCCTGCTTCAGCAGCGCTTTGAAACGGTGCTAGTGCATTTGTAGAGCCTTCTAGGACCCTCCAGGCAGCACTGCTCTCTAAGGTTATTCGTTGTACAATATGAATGTTATTTGTTCAGTAGACTCTTCAGTCGTGCTCATGACAAGCTCTCTCACCGGACCCTTGCAGGAACCCCCA